AGTCTCAAAGGCAACGTAACCAATCTGGCGAATTTCAATTTCAAATGTAACATTCTATATTTGACCCTGTAACTTCCCAAAACGCCATAAAACCTGTACATAGGGGGTACTGTTTTACACGTGAGACTTTGCTGAATACAAATATGTGTATTTTATTGCAGTAAAAGCAAACAGTATTATGACATTGACAATTAAAATGTCATGTAGAACTAAAAAAATAACAACATTTCGTATTTTCTCCCATTTTTTTCATATTAAATTATGTTTCATAGCTAAATATTTGATATTAAATGAAAGCCCTGTTTCCCCTGAATAAAATGATATATAATAAGGGTGGGTGCATTTACTATGAAAGAGGTGAATTACCGTTGGACAGACATGTAGCGCAAATGCCAGGTTTTGTTTACATTTTGTTTTGTTCACAACGTGTACATTTGGCTCCGTCCTTAAGGGGTTAACCTGAGAAACAAAATTTGTTATCTTTGTGAAATTTAAATAGAATTTGCATTATAATTTGTAACAGGGTGTAGTTCAACAAAGAATCACATTTTTGCCACATTCCATTTTAACCCCTTAGCAACCGAGGACGGTTCAGGACCGTCATCGGCATTTTTGCCTTGAGGACAGATGACGGTCCTGAACCGTCCTAACGGTCTGGGGGTACTTACCTGATCGCCGTCGTTCCCCCGGCGGCGATCAGCTGTGCTCCGGTTGTGGGGAGACTGCCTGCAGCCCAGACAGTCTCCCCACACTGATTTAGGACCCCTGTGGCCATGTGATCGCTTAACACAGCGATCACATGGTCACAATAGGTGTCCATAGTGCTGCCTGCAGGGGGACTGCCTGTGCTGACAGGCAGTCTCCCTGCTAGTGTAAAATCAGTAAAAAAAATTTAAGTTAGTGTTAATAAAAAAAATAATAATAATTATATATGTGTATATATGATATATAGACAAATAATATATCTATATAATATATGTCTATATATCATCTATATAATGCCATACTAAGTGTATTTTTATATTAATATGTACATATATTAATATAAAAATACACTTATAATTAAATTACACACGTATATATATAATATATATAATAACTATATATATTGTATATATATATTATTATAAAATATAAATAAGTAATTTAAATTAAATAATTTTTTTTTAAATAATAAAAAATTTAAAAAAAATTATATAGCTATATGAAATTTTATTCTAACTGTATTTTAAAATTAATATATATATATTTATATCAAAATACACTTAGAATGAATTTGTATATATATCTATGTATATAAAATAAATAAAAATAATAAGAAATATACATATGTCCATATACAAAATTACATAAATAATTATATAAATATACACGTAGACTTCAAATATATAAATATGCATATATATTTAAATTCTACGTGTGTATTTATGTAATAGTTTTACATAATTCAGTAATTTTATTGATTGCAATTTAAGGGACCTGCCTGCCAACCCAGGCCGAAATTCCAGAGAATTGAATTTGCTAGCACTGTATTTTACCCTGTAACGTTCTACGACACCCTAAAACCTGTACATGGGGGGCACTGTTTTACTCGGGAGACTTCGCTGAACACAAATATTAGTGATTCAAAACAGTAAAACATATCACAGCGATGATATTGTCAGTGAAAGTGACTTTTTTGCATTTTTCACACACAAACAGCACTTTTACTGATGATATAATTGTTGTGATACGTTTTCCAGTTTTTAAACACTAATATTTGTGTTCAGCGATGTCTCCCGAGTAAAACAGTACCCCCCATGTACAGGTTTTATAGCATTTTTGAAAGTTACAAGGTCAAATATATGGGTCAAATATTTTACATTGAAAATGGCCAGGTTGGTTACGTTGCCTTTGAGAGCGTATGGTAGCCCAGGAATGAGAATTACCCCCATGATGGCATACCATTTGCAAAAGAAGACAACCCAAGGTATTGCAAATGGGGTATGTCCAGTCTTTTTTAGTAACCACTTGGTCACAAACACTGGCCAAAATTAGCGTTCAATTTAGTTTTTTTACTTTTTTCACACACAAACAAATATGAATGCTTACTTTGGCCAGTGTTTTCGACTAAGTGGCTACTAAAAAAGACTGGACATACCCCATATTGAATACCCTGGGTTGTCTACTTTAAAAAAAATATGTACATGTGGGGTGTTATTCAGAGATTTATGACAGATAATAGTGTTACAATGTCACTATTGATAAATTTAAAAAATTTATGTTTTGAAACCGCAATATTCTACTTGTACCTATAGCCCTATAACATGCAAAAAATGCAAAAAAGCATGTAAACACTGGGTATTTTTAAACTCAGGACAATTTTTTTTATCTATTTAGCAGTTTTTTTAATTCGTTTTGTAGATGAGTAAAGGATTTTTCAAGTAAAAGTCAAAAAACATGTATTTTTTCAATTTTTCATCATATTTTTTTATTTTTTTTAAATTAAAATACATGAGATTATATAAATAATGGTATGTAAAGAAAGCCCCTTTTGTCCTGAAAAAACAATATATAATTTGTATGGGAACAGTAAATGAGAGAGCGGAAAATTCCAGCCAAACACAAACACCACAAAAGTGTAAAAATATGCCTGGTCGCAAATGTACAACATCGCAAAAACAGTCCAGTCCTTAAGGGGTTAAACATGGAATGAGTCTCTGTTTGCTGTTTGCTGTATACAACAGCTTTAAATCCATGTCTAAAATGGAATGAGGCAAAAATGTGATTCATTGTTGAACAAATTTGCATATGCCTACCCAGAATCCTTTGCTGTAGTAACATCACTGCAAATTTGTGATTGTGAAAAGCAAGTCTTATTAACTATCCACAGACTTCAGGTGGAAGGGGTTTTCAATCACAATTTTTTCCCCTCCATAACTGCGTTGGTTGTTGCTATATATATATATATATATATATATATATATATATATATAGGCTGCCCTGTAGGCAGAGCCTGATGTTGTGGGAGGAGTTACCTGGCCTATATACAGGCTGCCCCATCCTCTGGGCCCATACTGCCTGGTTCAGTACTGAACCATCTACTTCCGGTTCAAAGGTCATCAACACCAACTAACTCCAAACAAGCTGGTCTTGGCCTAGTGCAGCATACAAAAGTATTTATTTTACCTCACTCAAGTAAAAAACAGCCACCTCCCTTAAAGTTCATGGGACACCGCCACTCCCGACCCAGTTGGATCATCGCCTGTTGCTTTTTGCAAATTTTTTTAACAAAACCGTAAGTTTGTTTGTTCTGCCCTTGTTGGGCTATGCTATCACTGACATTCAACACATATTTGGTCTTTCACGATCTATGGTGGTATTTGAAGCTCAGTCCATATTCAGCCCTCATTCGGACATGGTACATTTTACTAGTAACGCAAATTCTCAATTGTAGATAGCATCACAGGGATACCTCAATTCAGTTCATTCAGTCTGCTTACTGTATTCAGCTCTCATTCAGCCATATTAAATTGTATCATATGCAATTCAGTTAGTCACTCTGCATTTTAATGTATAATAAATGCCATGCCATATTCAGTTTGTCATATTTGCAGCCTATTATTGTCAGCCCACACGGTCTCAGTTATACTTGTCAGGTTTGGGCAGGTCAGCATTTGCTACTTATGTTCATCATGCTTCTTCCAGCCTCAGTACATATATGTATTCTTTATGTCTGTCCTCTGGGTATTTAGGCACTCATTGTACCAACATTGTTTAGTAATTGTCACGGTGCCGCAGGTTTCTGTCAGCATGACCGCACTGAAAAACAGCGGTCACGCTGACAGAAATAACAAACACTCATCTTACCCACGGCAGATCCAAAACCCGACCTCTTTCCATCTCTGTCCCCAGCGTGTGCAGCGTTAGCAGAGACACGGCCGCTAATAAAGAAATACCCTTTGCCCATATCAAAGATGGCGCTTACCTGCATGCGACGTCACATCATAGACATGCACGCACGTTTTGGGGTCAGAGGTCACATATAGCCAATTACAGATCTAGGAGGGTTATTTAAACCCAAATCACCTTTTGATCAGTGCCTTGTCGTGGTTCCCCTTAGCTGAGAGAGTGTTCCTGATCTTTGTATTTCTGGTATTGAACTTTGGCTTTGTTTGACTTCCCTGATTTCTGGTATCCTTGACTTTTGGCTTTTCCTCATTGTTGTGTCTCATTCTGTATCCCTGACGTCAGCAAGTATTTTGACTATTCTTGGTTACGTTCAGTCCGGCCATTATAAGGTCCAGTTATACGTTATCCTTAGCCCTAGGTGTGATACTATTTCTGCATGCTGTATCAACAGTAATCCTGACAGTAATGAAGTGGCTAGATTTTGCAACTGACTGTCTAAATTTATATCAGGCCTAAACTTGGGCCTACACATGTGGCCAGCATTTACGGTACTACCTGTTAATAATCTGTCTTATTTCACTGTCTGTCACTCCTTACATTGTTTAACCATTTCCAGGCTCCACACGGACCTAGTCAATCGCACTGTAAAATGATGTAGGTCACAATTATGTCTGTTCTATGGTTATACTCGACCCTCATCTCATGAACCAGGTCCACCACTAATAACCACAATAAATTGCAATCGGTCTACACAACATTAATTTAACCCTATTTAATTATATCATTCATCCGTAACCTCTCATTAGGCCCTCATATGGCCACCCTGCAGCACGGTATAATTATGTTGGATCCTCATTTGGCCTATCACACATATACTTATATATTCAGGCCTCAGTTGGAAAAACTACTACAATACAAATGATGGCCCCTCGTTTGGGCATTACATTATTTACATTGTTTCACAAAAAATAAAAGGAATGGTGTGGTATGCTATGTAAACATATGTGAAGATCACCAATCAATTAATATACATACACTGGTTACAGGTCTACTGAAAAATATTGGTAGTACTACAGTTAGGAAATAGTAATTCCAGCTTTTAATCACTTTAAAAACATAAATATAAAACAAAACATGGCGTAAAACCATATGATACAATAACAAAAGATAAGGTAAATATTGCACTCACAAACAATCCGCCATTAATAGTGGACAGAAAGGCACATCAATAGGTCAAAAGACCTGCCACAGAGGGAGTCCTAGATGTTCTCAGTCAGCTCCTAGATACACGTTTCTGGATCTCAAGTAGTAATAGAAGAGTGAGTTTTGGATGTAGCTGTCCCAAACAGAGTGAGTTGAAAATTCTGAAGGCTCAAAATTTGTCCAATAGATATAATACACGTGGGATACAGCTGCTAAACCTAAAATATAATAAAAAAAAGAATATAGCATAATACAGTTGATGGATATATAATAATCCCTGCTAAAGATTTAACTCACAGGATTTCAGAGTTCTAATGGTTCCTCCCCTGGTGTTTGGGGGTCTAGTGTCTCCCTCTTAGGATCAGGCATCACCCAATATCAGGAACCATGCAGGACTCCGACAGGTAGATGAGTAGAAAAGAGGTTTATTGGTGACAACTTTAAAATAGCAAATAAAAATAAGTTTTTGTCGTACGCGTTTCATCCTCTAATGGGACTTCCTCAGAGACCAATAAAAAAAATCACAACAAGGATGCTCTCAAAAAAGCAGCCCAATTCCACCCTTCCATCAGTCCCCTTAAATAGGGCTAGTCCCTTTCGTTCATTGGTAATTCCAGTGGGTGCCTTCCTTTTCATTCTTCCTATTGCTGGTTCTTGGATCATTTTCACCTGACCCTGGTCGAGGATGATTGATGTTGTAGTCTCAGCTAATTGATATTTTGAAACCGACGAAAACCGGAAGTGATGTTATCCACCTACTTCTGTGCGTTCCAGCATGCGTTCCAGCTATGCTTTCCACTGTAGTGTCTCCCATGTTGGTATCTAGGAAAATCAATTTCAAAATAACTTAGTGAAGTTAGTCTCCATTAAATGGAGAATTATATTTAAATGAAAAGGCATCATTAGATCGATATGATAATTCATAATAAGACAAGCCAGAACATGATCTTTAAGAGACTATACAAATGATGTTAAAGTATATAAATTATACATTTTTGTATCATTCCAAGGATATGTCATGTAACTTTATATCTAATTGCTAATATTCTTTTACTGACAACAGTCAGTTCAACTTTAATAAAGATACACAAATAAACATAAAATATAAAATATAGTCACATATATCCATTTTTTAAAAATGATTTTTTTTAGAGACTCCTTTATCAAGATAATTTTTTTTAATTTTAATTTTTTATTTTGTTGTAGTTAGAAGGGATTATAACCCTTACCAGAATCTACATGCAGATGATTATATAATTGATTCTCATAAGGAGGAGACCTGAATTTTCTTTAAGTTGAAGCAGAATACAAAAAATAAATATTTACATCAGACAAATTATAGCAAGACAAAAAAAACAACTGTATAACCTAAGAATAAAACAGAAAAAGGGTTTTTTCACTAAAAAACAAATTAAGTCTATGTTGACATTCAGTCCCCGTGGCTCTAAAGTACATAACTTATGTATCCAGAAAGTTTCCCTTTGGGATAATCATTGGACCCTGTTCCCTCCACTCCAATGAGGCAAAACTCTCTCTATTCCAATACATTTAAAATTTTTAAAGGAAAAATAAGGGCAAGAATTACAATGTACGGGAACTGAATGTGACAAAATACTTTTCTTTATGTTATTTATATGTTCTAAAATGCAAGTTTTCAAAGGCCTCTTGGTGCGGCCAATATATTGTTTGCCGCATGGACACTGCAGTAAAAAAACCACCAAGTCCGTGCGGCATCCATCCTCCACCTTTATACAGATAGATTCTCCAGTCACTGTACTGCAAAAGGTATTCGTTCTTACAAGATTAACTGTTGAGCAGGCCTTACAGCTATTGCACCCCCTAAATCCTTTTAGATATTCTATGTTAGATTGGGATTTTTTGTTAGGGAACCTCCTAATAGCGGATCTTCAAGCAACACAGACCAATATTTTTGTAGACCTTTTTTGATGCGTTGGTGATTTACATTATATTGAGATGTAAATATTTAAAAGAATCTACCGAATCTTGTATTTTTGGTTTATCCATTAATAGTTCATTCCTTTCTATCTTTTTTATTCCTCATTTCTTTCTCCAAACTGTTCTTGTTATATCCCTTATTAATTAATTTTTTTCAATATGTGCTGATTGAACCTCAAAGTCTTGGGGATGAGAACAATTTCATTTCACACGCATAAACTGACTTTTGGCTATTCCCCTCAGCCACGTTTTATGGTGGCAGCTTTTATTATGGACGTATCCATTGCCATCTGTAGGTTTAAAAAAACATTTTGATTCAACATGATCATTTCTGCAAAACAATGTCACATCTAAAACATGTATGGTACTTTTATTACACTGGGGTGAATTTTAAGTGATATTGATTATCATTAAGGTAATCCACAAATTCCTGAAAACAAAAAGAAGATCCTTTCCAAATGATATCATTGATATATCTCCGCCAGAGCACCAGGTTCTCCCTCCAGCCATGACCAGACCATTCAAAAAGATTCTCTCATCTCCTCATATATGTATTGGCATAGCTGGGGGCGAACCTGGTGCCCATGGCGCTCCCCATGATCTGTGAATAATGTTTATCATTAAAGAAAAAATAATTGTGTTCTAAAATGAATTGAACTGAAGTGGCAACAAATTCTCTGACCTTACGGGATATCTTAGAATCTCTGGCCAAAAAATTATCTATGGCCTCGAGTCCCAAATTGTGCTTGATAACTGTATACAACAAAATAATGTCGAGTGTTGCCCAGTTAAATTCTGGACTCCACTCAATGCTCTTCATCTCCTGCAGAAAAGATTTAGTGTCCTTAACGTAAGATGGTGCTGTTTGTGGATATGATTGCAAGAATAAGTCAACGAATGCTGATAAATTGGCTGTAATGGAATTAATCCCACTTATTACTCGACGTCCTGGGGGTTGTAACAATTTTTTATGGGTTTTGGGTAGAAAATAAAAGATGGAAATTATGGAGTGTGTTGCAAAAAATAATCAAAATTTGATTTAGAAATCGTATTTTCTATTTCGGCCTGTTTCAACAATTGTTCTATTTAAGCACTGAACCTTTTTGTCGGGTCTTCTTTAAGAATTTTATATGTTTTAAGATCTCCTAAAATATTCTCAGCTTCATGAAGATAATATTCAGAGGACATTACCACTATACCTCCCCCCTTGTCTGCAAATTTGTCCGACTGGTTTTGTCCTCATGACTTTTTCAAGGTAGAGCTTGGATACAGTCCCCACCATTCAAACTTATAAACCCCACCAATCAATGTACACATGGATTCCTGACGTGGGTTGAACCAAACCAGGTGTGTATGAAATCAAACTCCCACTAGAGTAATGGCCGCCGGTTATATTAAATAAATGTGTCAGCTATACTGGAAAAACCCTAAATTGTATACTGGGTAATCCACATGTAGTCTATGAAAGAGAAACAACTGTATATACACTATTGCAGTTGGTAATAAAAAACCTTAAAAACGACCCACAGCATATATATTCCAGCATGTACTGTTTCAAAAGTATGTGAGCAACAATTACAAAAGGCGAAGAAGCAATTTGTACAAAAGGAGTATGAACTAGACCTTCTGGAGAACTCAGTTACAAGGGTGAATACCCTAGATAGGAATAAACTCCTTAATACACCCAGTAAAGAGAATAAAACAACATATGTAGACTTGTTCACATGCCCAATCATTTTAACTACAGTAGCCAATCTCAATTTTTAAGGAAAGGTTTCAGCAAACATTGGCACCTTCTGAAACATGACCCCTGTTTATCTACGTTTTTACCGGAAAAAACAAGAATAATATTTAGGGGTGCCCCAACTATAAAAGATAAATTACACAGTTTTAGACCATCAAAACCGGAGACACATTTTTTAAACTCAGAGAAGGAATTTTTAAAATGTGGTAATTGTAGTATATCTAGAGTAACGGACCCCCATATGGGAAAATCTCTAGTTTTCAGTCCTTTGTCACAAAGGAATCTTTTGATATAAAGAAATGTATCACTTGCCACTCTAAATAAATAATTTATTTGTTAGGTTGCTCCTGCAGAATCCAGTACGTAGGACAAACTAAAAGAATGTTAAAAGCCAGGCTTAACTAACATGTGTACAATATTAAAAGAAAATTTGAGAAACACTCTTTATCTAAACATTTTTTTAGACCATCATGCTAGCAACCCCGGTGTTTAGGTTATTGTGGGATTGAAAGAGTTAACATTGCATGGAGAGGGGGAGAACGGATTAAGAAGTTTGCATTTCAGGAAATGTCTTGGAATTATAAGCTTAAAACTGACTCCTTTTGGTATGAATGCTGAATTCGAGTTATTTTATAATTGGGAAGAGTGTGTTGTTTATGTTCATGAATTCTGGTTTTATATATCATGTGTATGGGGTTGTATTAATTTGTGCAGAGTTTTTATATATTCACAGTTTTTACTTTTTTTTTTTTTTACTATATTAATTCATGTGAGAATTATACCCATTATCCATTAAACCTTTCACTCGCACCACATATGGTATAATGTTCCTATAGAACTGGCACATCTCCAACAGATGTCCGAATAATTATGTTTGAATTTCTTGATTCTGTAAATTTCATGCAAACCAAGACTGTGAGTAATTTTAACTTAACTTGTATAAAAGCCCCCCCTCCCCCCTGTTCCTCTATTGAAAAAGATTTATTTAATTATCCTTCCCATTTACTTAGTGATGAAGGTTTCTCTGTGCCCATTAAACTTTTTAGTAATTGTGTAGTTCTAGAAATAAGTTTAGTTTTTAAATGTTTATTTATAAAATGTTCATACTGTGGGTGTTCTTTAATCCCTAAGGTCATTATTAGATGCTTAATTCTGATATAATTAAAGAACTCACATCCAAGTAGTTCAAGTTGGATTTTTAAATTTTCAAATGGATCAAGTTTCCCTAATGGAGCAATTTGAAATAAATTGTGGATATTACATTGTCTCCACTTTGTTAGATCTATATCCTGTATGTAAAATTAGATTACTTCAATGGGAGTTGCTTGAAGAAGTTTATTAGAAATTTCCAATTTGTTCTTAAATATTCTTAGTGCCATTGTTATGTCATTCACAATTATATTCGAGGAGGTAAAAATTTACAGTACTTAGAATTAATCCAGGCTAAATTAAATAATGACATCTTTTGACTAACTTTTTCTTCCATTATATTCCATCCGGGATTTGATACTATCCAGTTATCACATTTAAGGAAGTGAGTGAACATAATAGTATCATGCATTTCTATTATGTCTGGAAAATGTATTCTACATTTTTCATCTCTTTTAGTTAAAATAGTAAATTAAATTCTGGGAGTTTTATCTCCCCAAATAAACGCCATAAATTGTTTCTTAAATTGAAAAAGTAGGTCTCTTGAGACTCGTAGAGGTAAGGAATGGAACAAGTAGGTCAATTTTGGAAGACTATATGTGGAGATTGTATTCAGTCTACCAAGCCAAGAGAATTCTACGCCTTTCCATTTTTTAAAATTTTCTTTTAGAGATGTTAGTAATACCTTGTAATTATCCTCCACTATCCTATTCATATTCGTATCTAATGCGGATTCCAAGATACCCGATTATTTAATTATTCCAATTCCAATTATACCTCTCTCTCGGTATCTCCAAATCATTTGAATTTATATTCGTTGTTATTATTTGTGTTTTATTCATATTGATTTTGTATCCAGAAAATCTCCCAAATTCATTAATTACTTCTAGAACTTGTGGGATGGAAATTAATGGGCTAGACAGGGTAAAGAGGACATCCTCTGCATATAAAGTGATTTTATGATTTACTTCACATATATTTAGGATGTAAATCTGATCTTTCTGTCTAATTAGTGCAGCCAGAGGTCCGATGGATAAAATGTACAGCAATGGTGCCAGTGCCTAGTTCTGTTCTTGACGTCAAATCAGTCAGATATCATACCAGGGCCAATAACTCTAGCTTGAGGAGCTATATAAAGTGTCATAGCACTTTCTTTAAAGAATCATGTCAGGCCAAATTTCTCCAACACCAATTCCAAGAAACTCCAGTTCACCCTGTCAAATGCCTTTTCCGCATCTAAAGCTATAAAGACAGAAGGTAAATCGTGAGCATTCAAGTGGCTTATCATATTTATGATTTTCCGGGTGTTATCAACCATATCCCTGCCCAATATGAACCCAGTTTGGTCCATATGTATAAGTTCAAGGATGATTGTTTGTGTGTGGATTTAATTGTGACTGTGGATTTGATTGGCCATGACCGGCCGTTGACCCCAAAATAATTACCAGGTTTCCATGTGCATGATTGCTGCTTGGCACAACTTTTCCTGTCAGGACGGTATTGTTGCTCTGCACAACTTTTCCTGTCAGGACAGCGAATGCCATTAACCACATTTTTATGTGCGGATGAATACGTGACATTACCCCCCACCTGAAGACCGCCCCCTGGGCGGGCATGACCAGGTTTAAGAGGAAACTTGGCGTAAAAAGAACAAATTTTACAGCCAGCATGGATATCAGAAGCCAAAACCCAAGAATGGTCAGCAGGCCCATACCTCCTCCAATTAACCAAATACTGTAAGGAACTAGGAGAAAACCTGTAATCAATGATGGAGAAGACTTCGTACTCCTCCTGTCCAGAAACAACCAAAGGAGGAGGGGGAACAATCGGACTTGTGTACCGATTGCAAACAAGCGGTTTGAGCAAAGACACATGAAAAGTATTAGGTATACGTAAGGACACTGGAAGGACCAGAGAATAAGAAACAGGGTTGATTCTCCTAACCACACGAAAAGGACCAAGGAACTTTGGAGCAAATTTCGCTGGGAACCTTCAGCCTGATGTTGCATGAGGATAACCAAACCTGATCACCCACCTGGTAAACTGGATTGGCACTCCGCCGTTTATCCGCATGTAATTTAAAGAGAGCAGCTGCCGTTTCAAGAGCAGAGTGAACCTTAGTCAAGGTATCACAAATAGAGGTAAGGTGATCATCCAGAGTAGGGATAGCCGTATCAGAAAGCACAGCAGGGAGATCAGCAGGATGACGACTCGTATTGACAGAAAAATGTAGTATGCCCAGATGAGTCATGGGTAGCGTTATTCCTTGCAAATTCAGCCCAGGGAAATAATTAAGCCCAGTTAGACTGTGTACTATTCACGAAACAGCGTAAATACAGCTCAAGTGATTGGTTAGCTCTTTCAGCCGTACCATTAGTTTGGGGATGGTAAGCAGAGGAACATGACAATTTAATGCCCAACTGTTATTAAATACCCTCCAGAACCGTGACACAAATTGGGAACCCCTGTCAGACACAATATTTTGAGGAATACCATGTAGCCTAAAAAATATCATGTATAAATATGTGCACTAGGTCCTGAGATGATGGCAATTTTTAAGTGGAGTAAAGTGTGCCATTTTGGAAAAACGGTCAACTACCATGAGGATGGTAGTATACCCATTGGAACTAGGCAGTTCAACAATGAAATACATCAATAAATGAGACCATGGGATGCTGGGTATAGGAAGTGGCTTTAACAATCCACACGTCAGTTTATGAGGAACCTTTGAAACTGCACAGACAGAGCAGGCTTCTACATAATCTTTAATATCCCTCCTGAGTGACTCCCACCAAAATGACCTGTCAGGATGGTAATGTTGCTTGGCACAACTTTTCCTGTCAGGACAGTAAATGCCATTAACCACATTTTTATTTGCGGATGAATACTTGACACATGTCCAGTCAATCTCGAAATCCTGCCGCTTCCATCTTAAAAACATTGCCCCTACTTAATGCCAGATGCGGCTGAGGTGCTGGTTCATGCCACTGTCCTTTCACGCCTTGACTACTGCAATCTGCATCTCAGTGGTCTTACATGTTTCCAACTTGCCCCACTGCAGTCTATAATGAATGTGGCGGCGAGGCTCATCTTCCTGTCCGCCCACACCTCACCCCTCTGTTAGTCCCTGCGTTGGCTTCCCGTAAGATATAGGGCTCAATATAAAATTCTGGTTCTTGCTTTCCTATCTCTACATAATGCTACTGTCTAGGCCCCTACGCTCTGCCGAAGACCTGCGTCTATCCTCTGTTTGTACTCTCACCTCTGATGCTCGCCTTCAAGACTTCTCTAGGGCTGCACTGTTCCCGTGAAAATCCCTTCCCTTTTTCGTTAGATGCTCACGTAGTCTCCAGTCCTTCCAAAAAATCATTAAAAACTCACTTTTTCACAAAAGCATATCAGCGAAGCTGTTAGTGTGGGGTTTTGGAGCCATTAAGTCTTCATTGAATACTATTCTACCAACCTACTTCCCCAATACTTCCCTTACCTTTTGTGTCACTATACCCTACTCTCTCTAGCATGTAAGCTCATTGAGCAGGGCCCTCAACCCCTCTGTTTCTGTGCGTCAAACTAGTCTGGTTACATAGCTGAAAAAAGACTCTTGCGTCCATGATGTTTATCCAAAAGAAAGCAAAAAAAACCCCAGTTTGAAGCACTTCAAATTTTGCAACAAACTATGGGGAAAAAGCCTTCTTGACCCCAGAGTGGCAGTCAGATTAACTCTTGGATCAAGAAGCTATCACCCTACATTGAAAAGTTATATCCTTGAATATTCTGTTTTTGCAAGTATGCATCTAGTTGCTGTTTGAACATCTGTATGGACTCTGATAAAACCACTTCTTCAGGCTGAGCATTCCACATCCTTATTGTTCTTACAGTAAAAAAAAACCTTTTCTTTGCCTTAGATGAAATCTTCTTTCTTCCAGTCTAAACGCATGACCTCGTGTCCTATGTAAAGTCCGATTTGTGAATAGATTTCCACACAATGGTTTGTATTGTCCCCGGATATATTTGTATAATGTTATAATATCTCCTCTAAGGCGATGTTTTTCTAAACTAAAGAGGTTTAAATTTGTTAACCTTTCTTCATATGTTCCACTCCTTTTATTAATTTTGTAGCCCGCTTCTGCACTTTTTCTAGTGCCATAATATCCTTCTTTAGAACAGGTGCCCAAAATGTCACATCATATTCAAGATGTGGTCTAACCAGTGATTTAAAAAGAGGCAAAATTGTATTTTCATCCCGAGAATGAATGCCCTTTTTCATGCATGACAATACCTTACTGGCCTTAGCCACTGCTGATTGACATTGCACATTGTTGCATAGTTTGTTGTTTATAACAATTGCCAAGTCCTTTTCATGTGTTATCTCTAATTCGCTTCCATTAAGGGTATACATTGCTAGTGCATTCTTTACGCCGAAGTGCATAACTTTGCATTTTTCAATATTACATTTCATCTGCCATTTGAGTGCCTAGTCCCCCAGTCTATATAAATCCCTCTGCAGCAAAGTAATATCTTGCTCACAGTGTATTACTTTACAATGTGTCATCTTTTGCGTCATCTGCAAACACTGAAACATGACTTTCAATGCTTTTTTTCAAGATCAATTATAAACATGTTAAATAGAAGGGGTCCCAGAACAGAACCTGAGGGACACCAGCCTGAAAATTTACCATTAAGGACAACTCTTTGTACTCTATATTTAAGCCAATGTTCTAACCAAGAACAAGAATTTTCATTTTACCGTTAATCAAAGAGATTGGGCGGTAATTCGACAGGGTGTCTGGATCTTTTCCCGGTTTTGGGGGTTGAATAATTTTGATTACAACTGTATAAGTCTTAAAAACTAAAGCTAATACAATAACTATACTTCGCATTTAATATATACTCTTAAATGTTTATTTTTTAAACTCAAGTTCAGTCAGACAATTCAGTATTAATCCCCTTTTCTTATTTCTCTGAGAAGAGTTTTTGCGATATGGACTTTGAGTCTTTACCATGAGATGGAAGTTTCTCAATTATTTGAGAAAGCACATACTAGATTTATAATTCCGTAGAATAAACAAAATCTGTTTGTTTACTGTCTTAGTTAAAGTGGTTTGGGTCATAAATTGAATTGGACCACTGCTTTCTCAGCTTTTTGTCAGAAAAACATTGTCCACTATTTGGTTTCATACAGCTACAAAATTAAAAGTGATACAATTTTCTTTTAATTGTGACTTGCAGTGTGTGTAATAGTGTGTATTACAGTGTGTGTTATAGAATAATATTCATATTTTCTGGTATACTCTGTCTGACAATATTTTGGTCACCATATATGACCTTTATCAAGCCATACCAAACATTGCAATAATCGGTGTTTAAATAGAATAGAATGAAGTGGTATGAATACATTATTGTTAAAACACAGATGTTTAAAATCATCAAAAAAAGCGATATATCACATACCTGGCTCATATGTCTCTTTCTGACTGTCATGGCTGCTGCGGGTCTGTCACTTGACAACAGAGAAAAAAACAACAAAAAATCTGCCAAAATATAATTTGATTTGCTGAAATCCTGCTACTAGAGGTTAGGCCAGTGCCAGGCCTTGAGCACCATGACTGTACCTTAGATTATTTGCTTTGGGGAGTTTTGTGTTTTATACTTTTGGGAGTGCCATCGCTTTCACTGGGAATAGCTGTCAGCCCAGAACCACCGTGGCTAAGCACAATTGCTCACCCACGGCGTTCTCAATGCATTTAAATGGCTACATGAGTGCTACATACAGTTCCTCAGTCAGCCTGATGATACCTGGGATTCCTTTGTTTCCCTGCTGGTAAAATACCACATGATGGAATTATTCGGTCATGGGTTCTTAAGGGAAGAATATCCATGATGGAATATTCTGTCATGCATTGTTTATATTATGAACAATATCATTCGCTTCAATAGACAAAAAATTGTTTATAGAAGAAATACATTCTGAGAAACAAACCACTAACTGGAAAACAACTATTCCCAGTCATACGAAAAACCTTCAAAATAAACTTAACATTTATTAATTCCAGCTAAAATATCACTCACCAATTATTAAGCATATACAAAAATTTGAGATACTACAAAAATACTCCTTTTTTTTGCAAGGATATGGATCCTTAGAGATTGTACTTCTATTCCTTCAAGGAGTGTAACAAATGAATTGTGTAAATGAATAACTAAAACAAATATAGCGATTGCATCTCTGATAAATTATGCACCATAATAAATAACTAAAACATCCTTATACGTGTTTACCAAAGGTGACCGGTAGAGGGAGCTCCATGCGCAATATGAGAACTTTAAACATCTCTCTCCCTGCCTTCATTATAGCAGCAAACATTAAAAAAGAAGCCATGGTAGCACTATCTATGTCATAAAAGAACCAGCAGAGGGAGATAATACTACACTTACCTTCTGTCTTATTCCCCCATAACATTAAATAGGAAATGTTACCAGAGATATTCTTGTGATGTTACTATGTATCATATACCACCAAAGACCTGAGCTGAAAGAAGCTCCCTAACTTTGAACAATGGAACATTTCTGGATAGACTATCCCCAACATATTTCATCCACTACAGAGGTGGCTATTTCAAATCAAGGACTCTTGTTACAGGTTAGTAGGGTGATCCATAAAGATATAGATAAATTGTCGGCTGTGATTATAGTTACTGAACTATATACTATCATATCGTGCCACGGCCTAACTGTATGCAGGCTGTCACTCAATGCACGTTTTGCCCCACTAATCCTCTGCCAATCATACTTAAATGCGTTGCTCGGAAATCACTGGTAAATGATGGCTGTCGAGTAACCAATCACCCAGGTGGGGAAAATGCCAGTTTAGTAATTACATGATAATGGTGTGATTGAATGGATATCCAGGAAATGGTTAAGAGGGTTTAGTCAACAAACGTAAAACAGAATCTATCCAATTGGTTCATAAATGTGTCTCATACTAGTGCATGATAATAAACCGTGGATTCTGTTTCCAACTCACTCAGGAGTTAAAATAATTTTTAAAAATATAGCATCAAATATCTCTTATGTACTTTAATTTTAATACTTGACGGGAGGCTTCAGTTTCTAATATCTCTTTACTATTCTCTTAAGTAATTTCTCTTTAGTCTGTAATGTGTAAAATTGTTAATGTTAATGACATTATGTGTTATCGTTCTTCTTACTTGGGGATTATATGCAATAATATTATGTTATGTGGTGTTTTGTTATTCTGTTTATTAACCTATTTTTATTATATTATATATTTACTTTAGCTGTACATATCCTTTCCAGATTTCTCTACAAAAAAAAACGTTACAATAAAAAAAGTACTGAGCCCACTGAACTTCTGGATGTAGAAACAGAATCCAAGAGAGCAGATAATATCCTGGCCATAATTCTCCCTGATATTGGATATTAGAAACAAAAGGACAAAAGACAACTCAATGGATGGGCAGCTAGGTATCTTGGAGATGTGGCTCTCAAAAGCTGCAACTTGGACCAGTAATAGTATTTGAATTACTTTGCTCTATCGCTGGAATCCAGACGCGCTCTTCATCTTTCCAGCCTTGTGTTTTAGAGCTTTTCTGGAAAGCTCCTGCCCTACCTGAGCAGAGTGCTCTCCCCAGCTGTTCCCACCTCCTATAACCTCCAATCCAGTACCAGCACTTTATTTAGTCTCGCTTAATACAAAAAGAAAGCAGCCCGATCCTCCTCCTCGTACAGAGCACCAGAATTATGGAATAACCTCCCGCAAACTTTCAAATTTTCCCCAGCCTAAAATCGTTTAAGAGCTCCCTCTCTACATATCTCAAAACAGAATTCCCCTGTCATTGTTGATTATATTTTTCTTTTGCATTTCCATTTGGTTTGTATCTGGTTAATCAAAAAAGGTCACTATCTAAAAAAAAAATGGGTCTCAAGATATGGACCTGCCTGCATGCTTCCTTTAACAGAGACCTGCTTAGATAATCTAACAAGATATTCTCTTGACATGTTCGGATACATGTATAATTCATGGTAATTATTTGCTTTAAGTGACCTGAAATAGACAATTATTGACAGTTCTGCAGAGAGGGCCATTGGTTTCTCCTTAGATCTTGAGGAAAAACCCATGTACTCCAAGAGTATGTTCTTTGAAGGCACTATATGAATACCAATATTATTATTAATAATAATAATAATAAAGGTCTTAGATGAGCTCTGGCCTCTGGAATCATCTAGTAAAGAAACTAAAATATGCCAGAGGGCCTCTGATGGCCAGAAGCTACACAGCTTGTAAATTGAAGACAAATCATTCTCAACAGATGTGTTAACTTTTTAGGTTGTTCCTAGCCACTATGGCTAATCCCATATATCTTCTGTGTCAGAGCCTCCTCTGATAACAATGCACAGCAAATCATGTGAGATTTTACTTAATATTTTTGGAAGCCTTTTTTCACAATACTAGCAATAATATATTGGAGACCTCTTTGATACTGGGAAGAACTTAAGATAAGGTGTTTTACAAAATGTATTTTAAATGTTCACACTTAAAATGTAACACTGAGTAAACATTCCACTTAAATAATGGATTTCCAAACTGTTCCCAGACAAAAACAAAGTTTAACAATTACTACATATTCTTTCATTACGTAAAACAATAATTGCATCTACAATGGAAGTTCTCTATTGTTTGGTCTTCCTCATTAAGCAATCAGCAGGTCTCTTAAGTCTCTCTGAATGGGTTTTCATACGAGGTATGTCAACTTTCCCCTCTGGGAAGAAATTCAATTTATTCCACTCATAGGAATCTTGATTTTCCAAAATGACAGATACTGCTTGATTAAATCTAGTGGATTGTTTTCTGGCAGAACAAAATTGTAATGTAAAACTTCCCCTTCATTTGAGGAGGAATAATCCCATAATTATAAGATATTTCCCAGAGAATCTAACAACAAAATATTATTCCACCCTTTACTTTCAAAGGTATCCTGGAAACATGTTGCAGTGTACACTGCAAAAATTGTGAATTCTGGTTTCTTAGTGTTTCCAATGAAACAAAAAGTGTATTGTGTAACTAACTAATCTGCATGCTGCATATATGATATGTTTGCACTTGAGGTAGCAGTTATGTACAGCATGTGAGATACATATACAAACCTATAGCTCAGAAGAAGGAAAGTATGGTACTGTTACTTGGGGCTTAGAGCAAGATATTAATTATAACATGGCACATTCTCTCCTCCCCCCTCCCCCCACAAAAAAAAATCACAACTTTAATTTTGCCAGCAAAAGACTTAGTCTAGTGAGATGGAGCATTAGCATTTACAATGGTTTCTTCTACTAGTGATTGTCACATCCATGCTGTGTGCTCGACCATCGTTTTATGACACAATTGAAAAGGAGCAGATTATGCTGATTATATGTGCTATCCACACAGATACAATCGTGAATAAACCCTTAAATGTACTGTACAAATTGTAGAACCCAACATTCAAGTCTTTGAAATTTGATAGACTTTACCTTTTTTTCCCCACATAAACCACCTTGTGGAACAACCCAAATCTCAGGTGCACAGTGGTCTTGAGAGATGCCTTAGCTATATCCTATAACCTATCAACAGAACACTAATCAATGGCAGCAATAAAAAAAAAAAAAAAATAGATAAAACAAATAAATCCCTACCACAAACTTTAGGTGAAGATTATAAATTACCCTGCTCCTGTAACCACAGATGGACACAGTGTAATAGAATGGAAGTTAGCACTTTGATAGGGCCCTGGGTATGTATGTATAGACAAGCTTTATTTAAAGTAACACTACAGGGTCAGGAACACAAACATGTATTCCTGACCCTATAGTGTTAAAAACACCATCTATCCTCCCTATTCCCACTCTAAATATAGTAAAATGTTACCTTTTTTCCAGTCGGCTGCTGCTGACTCTGCCCCTGATCTGCCTGCTTGGCTATCATCGGAAGTGGTTATCGCAGACAAACACAATGCTTTCCCAAAGGAAAGCATTGGATTGGCTGAGCTTGTCAAGGAGGCAGATCAGGGGCAGTCAGCACAAGCCAAACACAGCCCTGGCCAATCAGCATCACCTCACAGAGATTCACTGAATCAATGAATCTCTGTAAGAAATGTTCAGTGTCTCATGCAGAGGGAGGAGACACTGAATGTCAGTGCTGTACAGTGTGCGAGACTGCCCCAGGAAGCACCTCTAGTAGCCATCCTAGGAGTGGAGGTATCCGTAGGCTGTTATCTAAACACTGCCTTTTCTCTGAAAAAAACGTGTTTACTGTAAAAAAGACTGAAGGGACTGATTATACTCACCATAACAAAAACAATACGCTGTATTTCTTCTGGTGACTATAGTGTCCCTTTAATATTGATTTTTCATTGCTACTTTCCCTAAACGAGAGAGAAAACAGCAAACCCAACTCTATGTGCTTTTGCATGCAAACTATCTCCTGTTATATATATTGATACAGAAGACATGATTTTGTATAATGTATTATAACAAAAGCAAACCTAGATTCCAACCCCAAAGTTGAAATACCTATGCTATGGTAGTAATAATCAAAACACTTGCGACTAGTGTTTGGTTGCTAGACAGCACTGTCATTAATACTACTTCAAGTATGCAAACTCTTGTCATCTTGCTCCATGAATGTCGGGCAACAAGCCTGCCTCTTTTATAGAACTCGAGCATATCTGCAACTCCTATGTTTTACGTGAATACACTCTTGCTGATATGTTACACTGATACAACTGTATACATTTTCTAGAGTGGAAAATTAAACAAAACAAAACACAGTTTCTCTTTTTTTTAATAATGATCAAGGATTTAATTATTCTTGTTTCAGTATCGTTACAGAAAATGTTATGGTACAGAGTTCTTCAATATTTTCTTCACTTTTTTTTATTTTTCACATGAATGCTGGTACACTGTAATCTGTACAAGATCAGTTTTTGATATTTTTTTCTGTACATTTTTTTTAAATGTATTGGTTAAAAAGGCTGTCAGCACTTAAGGAAGCAATTTTTTGTTCAAAGTAAAGGTATTCAGTTACTGCCCAATAGTACTGAGCGGAGAGATTGCCAGGATGTTTCTCCTCCTTGCTAATAAGGTGGAGTCTTGATCCAATTGCAATCACTTGCTTTTGGCACTGTGCACATCAACACGATATACAAGATAAAGAACAAGCAGAGCTTTCTTGTGAAGCGGTTATGAAGCATACTGATAAGGGAAATAGCAGTGTCATCTAAGCTAGTATAAAGTAAGCAGACAGCCTTGTATAAGAGCTTAAGTATTTGTAATTTAAGGATGAGAGAAACACAACTTTGCAGGCATCTACTGCTGTCTACTAAAAGCTACTGCTATTAAACCTAGCATTTAAACACACAAAGCAATTGCAATGAAGGAAAAGTTGCCTCGATATAATCGGAATAAGGTTTAATACGAGGTTTTTTTTTCTGTTTTTTTTTAAATATTTTTATTTTTTGGAAAAAAGTTTTAAAGTTGTTGTTTTTTCCCCAAAGTCATTTGTCAAAATTTAGTTCAAGATGTTGACTACACTGATCAACTTTATCCAAATCATAAAAATTAGCTGTGCCGTTGCATATTACAGGATACAGTCAATGATATGTGGACATGCATCAAAGCTTCTCTCTTGCAGTTGTCATCATAGTCTTCCAATAACCATGACATCCACCACCTCTCCTTTGTGAAGTTCCACATACTGCTCTGTCTTTGGAGGTAGCATCAACAGTCCATTGGCACTGCGCATACTCATCAAGCGACTGCTCATCTGATTACCTGGGATGATGAAGAAAAGGAAGTAATATTAATATTGTGTACAATTAAAGGGAAAATGTCGCTTCTCTGTAAATCACAAATAACTAAAACAGAAAGGTAACTGGACAGGTGGCTAAGTGACACCCCGCCCTCCGTGTAAACGAGTAGGCTAGAGTAAATCATACAGTCACATCCCCAGTTGGGGAAGAGGCCACCAAAGC